GAAGCATATTGACTCAGAAACTGGACTGGAGGGTGCCACAACCCAGAACACAGGCAGGAAAAACTGCTCTTAAGGTAAGAGCAGAACCAAAGAATTTTAACCAGTGAGTGAACAATAGAATACCAGGAGTGGGGGAGGGCGTGAGGTAAATCTTTAACGGGAGTGAAAGAGCCGCATTCCTGGCAGGAAGGTGGGGCTCAGTCCTCCCTACTCCTTTTTTGTACCTACTCCTTTTTTGTACGTAGCTTTGGGCAACAATTGAATCCAGGCTGAAAGCCCCTGGCTTTTCTCTTAAGAAAGGCACCAATTGCCTGGAGAAGGCTGAGTGTAAGGAACTGAAAAAATGCCGGCTAAGGCTTAAGGTTCCAGACCTTCACCACAGACGGAATGAGTGCATGCCTGCATGCATGCATGAATGAATGAACGAACGAACACACGAACGAACGCAGCTCTTCGCAACAGGAGCATAAGATAATATCTTCTACTCCCAGAGTGAAGCGCTCCACGTTTCAGCAGCTTGGAAGGTCCCAACCCTGCTAGGCCACCTCCCCAACCCCTGTCCCCAGTTAACAGAGGAGTCCCTCGTTTCACAAAGCCCATTGCTGGCCCCCGACCCCCTCCCCCCATTTGGGAGAGAAACCTGCCGGTGAAACTGACCTAGGTGGTGGTAGAAGCCAGCACTAAGGTAATCAGTCTGTTCTTTGAACTTGAATGTATCAATAGACAGCCAGAGGTCCCCAGACAAGGAGCAAGAAGAGAAACAAACAGAGGAATTCCAGGAAAGACAGGCAATTCAGAGAAAAGAGGACTTTTAAGAACTATACTTAGGATCTGCAGAGAGATTTGAGAGGAACATTCTTAAGGAAGCTTTCTTGAAAATTAGTAAAAGGATTGCCAAAATTAAAAATCCATGCATCATCTGAATGATAGAATGGGTATGCTCAAAGTCCAAATTAGACATCTGGAAAATGAAGCCGTGGAAAAACAGAAACAAGAACTACAATATGGAGCGAAAATATAGAGATAAGAAAAGGAGAAAATGTGTTAGAGACATGTAGGATTAGTCCAGGAGGTCTAACTTCTATTTCATAGGAGCTCCCTAGAGAGAAGTAATATAAAAGGAGGACAGAAAACAAATCAGTAATAAAAGCTCACTTCTCATGTTTTCATCTGCAGTCCTAGCCCTTTCAATTTAAAATGCCAAGGAAGGGATGTCTGGAACCTCGATGGCATTCCCAGACACACCAGCGTTCAGGAGGGGGGCAGGTCTCAAGTTCGTTTCTCCCATAACTCAAAGTTTACGCCTCACAGATATCTCTAAAGCAAAATGAAAAGTGAATTTAAGGAAGAAAAAACTATGGGATATTTGAAACAGAGCAAATAAAAGTTAAACCTGAGAGTGATTTCAGTAACTGGTGACTTTGATAATATGTATTTTTATATAAGAAGGGCTTGCTGGCAAAGGGTGCAAATGTACATTTATTGTACATATTGTAAATAGTGTACTATGTGATAAATGTACGTAATATTTAAATTGGGTAAGGGTAGAGATCAAAAGGGGAACAATTAGAAACAGAAAATAAAAACCACAATATTGGATAGCAGAAATAAGTCTAATAACCACAATTATAACCACAATTGAATGTATTCAGTGCCCCTAGTAAAAAATGCCTATTCTAGACGAGTTGTGAAAGGAAATCTAGTCATCTGAAGTTTGAGAAAACAGTGACATAGAGCAACTGAAAGAGAACGGGTTGAAAATATGTATTAGGCAAATACCAACAATAAGCAAGTTTAGCAATATTAATGTCAGACTGAATGGAATTCAGGGTTTAAAAATAGCACTTAGAAGCACAGAGGCTTATTTTGCACTTATAAAAAATAAAATTCACTAAGCAGATAGTGTCTGCCTAAATAAAGACATAAATTGAGACAAGCTGCAATGGACCAGAAATTGGGTCTATTCGGAACCAACAGGAAAGTTGCAAAGGGGTGGGGGAGGGAGAGGACAGCATGTTAAAACATTTGATGGGCATTCAGGCAGCATCCAAGCAGTATTCCTTGGCTTAAGGATGAGGAGAGATTGCTTGCCACATGTTCATTGGTTAGGAGATAGATCTCAGTCTTGTGCAAGTCAAGCATTTATGGGTAATTAGTCTATCTGTTCTCAAGTTCTGTTCTTCTGAGGGAGCATGCCTGAGAATCTCCTCCTTTCATATCCTCTGGTTCTATTTTAAACTAAAACCCTTTCATGGTATATTGCCATCAACCCCTATGTAGTATCAACGTAATATTGTTTTATAAAACCTCAGCTTGGGGCGCCTGGGTGGCGCAGTCGGTTAAGCGTCCGA